AAAAAAATGGTCGTTTTCGTGTTGATCGTCCTTGTTCTGGGTCTCTGAGGTCAGTGATCCATGTACTCTCATGTAGAACACAGTAATTACTAGATGAGCAAGTGTGTTGCTCCGAAAGTATGCTCTCTCTAGCTACCGTATTATTGTTGTAAACTTATATATATGCATGGCAAACTCGAGGTCGTAGAATCAGGCTCTTCAATCCCCACTTGAACCAGGTCTCATACCCTCATGAAACAGGGGAAGGGAAAATTGGTTGGTTTTGTTGGTTTGGCTACAACGTGATACTATTACATATTATAAAATATCAAAATGCAAAAGTGATGGTGGCGTTGCGGCGGCAGCAGCAGCAGCAAAGGCGTTTGTTTAATAAGCGAAGCAATTGCACCACTTCCATGATCTTCCACGAGACCATGCAGGTCAGCAGCCACCAAAGCGGTTGAGCCGGCAGAGCGCCCCACCGCATTCTGGTCAGCTCCAGCCTCGAGCACAACACCCGCACAACTTCCAAGTGGCCATTCTCAGTTGCAGCCATCAAGGCAGTTTCCCCGCCTTGCGTTGCTACCTTCTTGTCAGATCCAGCCTCGAGCAACAATTGCACCACTTCCAAGTGGCCATGACGAGCTGCAGCTATCAAAGCGGTTAACCCATCTTGGCTAGCCGCGTTGTGGTCAGCTCCAGCATCGAGCAAGACCCGCGCCACTTCCAAGTGGCCACTAGCAGCTGCAAGCATCAAGGGGGTTGTCTTGCATTGCGTTGCTGCATTCTTTTAAGAGCCAGCCTGGAGCAACACCCGCACCACTTCCAAGTGGCCATTCTCCGCTGCACCCATCAAAGCTGTTCGCCCAAATTGGACGACTGCATTCTGGTCAACTCCAGCCTCGAGCAACACCACTTCCAATTGGCCATTCTCAGTTGCAGACATCAAGGCAGTTTCCCCGCCTTGCGCTGCTGCGTTCTTGTCAGATCCAGCCTCGATCAACCATTGCACCACTTCCAAGTGGCCACGGTAAGCTGCAGTCATCAAAGCGGTTGCTCCATGTTGGCTCCCCGCGTTCTGGTCAGCTCCAGCCTCCAGCAACAACCGTACCACTTCCAAATGGCCGCCTTTTGCTGTAAGAAAAAGAGCGTCCGCACCTGTCCCATTGAGATTCAGCGGTTTCTGTAGCAAACCTGTAACTTCTGCAACTCTATTGTTCTCTCACGCCAGGCGTAGTGCCTGCCAATTGGCCTCCTCAGGCACACAAAAGTCCAAGATTACCAACTGCAAACTTGGTATTTGCCTGACAGGCATGTCATCATCTAGCTCACCCATGTCTGAACTCAATAATCTTAGCCGAAATCTTGAAAATCCAATCTCTGTGGCAAGGAGAATCTTCAAATCCCTAGATTTTCAACTCTGGACAATGCAATCCAAATCCTCCTCATGAAGCTGAGTAAGAACGTTACCTGCAACCGTTATAATCTCCATTGCTCCGGCCTGAGGAGGAAATCACTCTTGTGCCAAAATGGCTAGCAGCAAAGGCAGAAGCAAAAGCATGAGCAAGCAGTAGTAGTAGCAGTAGCAGCAATTAGTAAATCAATGCGGACATATATCTGGACAATCGAAGTTCACAGTTGAGCGAAGATGTTAACGGTCACACATACAGTCACACATAGGGTGGAACCGCCGCGAGAAGTTCCACAGAAGAGAAGTTGGTTGTTTTGAAGCGCTTCATCAAGGTTTCATCCCCAACAAAAGTTATACCCACCGGTCGTACTTCTAGGTCTCTGCTACCCGCTAACCTCCAGGTACATCATTCAAGAAATTCTGTCAGTTTCGAGTTTCGAGTGAGCATTGAGGTCTGAGTTTGAGCTCTGAAGCTAAGCAAACATCAGCAAAATAAACTGTTAACGACATAGATTTCTCGTGGTTTGGCTGTGTAATAAAACATGTCGGCGGAATCGGTGGAAATGAATGCATGTAATAAACCAAAAAAAGAAACAAAAAAGGTATGTAAATGTCCCACCCAACAACCCAACTCCTCCGTCTGCGAAGCCAATGCCGGAGCCACCTGGATTGGTTAGCGGATCTGAGCATGTCTTTAAACGAGCGAAAACCAGAATTTTGGATGTACAGTATAGCAACTATGAGCAATCAAAAGCATCTCCTGATTCAAACATAAGAGTCTCTTGCCTTGAGTCTCATTTTCCAAGACCAGGTGAGGCTGGGGGATGCTACTCTGCCCCATCACTGGAGGACTGGACTGGTCAACCCAAAAGGTCTCGGTCTGCACAAGGTCCCATCCAGAGAAGTTCAAGGTTCTCTTGCAAAAGCTCTTCCGGTGCTTCTCGAGTACTTGGTACTTCACTGGTAGTGGTATCTCAAGTTCAAGCACCACTCCCAAAGAGATCCCAAACGTGAACACACGTGACTCATTTGGAACATGACTGGTCGGAGATAAGGAGAATGTACCCCGCGTCACCATCTCCACGATCCACCGTGGCGAACGACACGCTTGCGCTGCCGGGACACTCAGCAAGGAGAATGCTGCGGCATGCACCTGAGGCTCCGAGTCACCGACGGCGCACCCTGGAGGGCTCGGGTCGGATGGCGTTCGTCTCTTCCATCCAAGGACGGTGGTTCGAAGGGTGAAGTAGCCGAAGACATGAGTCAAAGGGACGAACCCAGTGGTACAACCTTGCAGAAAAAGAACCATGGACCCCGAACCACCGGCGTCCTTCCGTCCATTCTATCCAAGTCCCCTGTGGCATCTCTCAAAATCCAGAAAAGACTCTCGCAAGATCTTGGAGAGGTCACCTTCACTTCTCCAAACCGCACCATCCCCCTCACCGTCCCCCGCGGTCCGCGACCGGCGACCCGGGTGACCCGGTGGACCGGTCACGTCCACCGGTCCACCGGCCTTTTGGAGTTGAACCGACATCCTGGCCGCATCACCTGGTGAGAGGTGCGTGCATCACGGACGGTGAGACGGTGCCGTGGCCTCCACATGAGATGTGAGACGGAGGACGTAGACATGTCACAGAGTTCAATCTCTATTTTTAGACAAACAAATCTGAGTCATCATGTCACTCTACCGGCATCTACTGGCATTGTTTTCAGCCATCAACATAGAGTCATATCAAAAAAGATCCAAATATCTCAAGACATTGACAATGGAGCTTCTCGAGATCAGACTAGACTCTGGGGGGAGTATGTAGAACATGTCGACGTGTTGATTCCCAGTGGCACAATCTGGTTGTGCAACCTTTGACCTAGATAACTATTCTCCTCGAACAGCGCTAACATGGAATGACTGACCCATGAAACAAGTCAAACAAGTAGTTTTAGGACGCATGCAGCAGATTGTTCCAAAAGGACTGAATGCTAGTGCGATGATGTATTGCATTAAAATGATTATATTGCGCCTACAGTGACCCCTCCAACCACCCTAACTGATCATCAATCTTCCAGTCGCTGAGTGTTCAGGTGATGCATCGTCCGAGAAAACCTATGTACTACCCATTCCCAAACGCTCCATGGGACTGCCATATATGCCGCCCCATTGGGTGGTGCCAGGTCAATCTATGTATGGCAGATATTCCAGTCCCATGGAGTCTATGGGAATTGATACCCACATCCCAAGACGACTGGACAGCTGGACAGCTCGCTCCGAAGATCCGCCGGAACCGGCGCCTTGCCGAGCTTGCCGGAACAGCTCCTGCGATGCGGATTCGACTTTTCTCTGAGAGGCGAAGTCTCGGCCACGGAGCGGAGCTTGTCTTTGGCCCGTTTGGGGAGAACAACAATCACCAAACACCGGCAGGACACAGGTTGGGAGTTGTGGGACGAAGCACTGAGGTCGGTCGCTGCTCTTTATCGAGCTCCAACCTAAACAAACTGAGTCGCTGTGTTTTCATCTCCTCATCAGCCTACATTGAAATGATTTCAAGATATCGTTCATTTATAGGGTCAATGTATAGGTAAATGATGGTGAAATGTTACAGTCCCATCGATCGTTAGGGATTGAGTTTTTGCATCAACCACCACCCTACTCCGCGGTCCCTCCGCGCCCCACCTTCCACCAGCTCCGCCCCGTCAACCACCACCTTCCTCACTCCATGCCAGCTCCATGCCAGCGCCTGGATGAACTCCGGACCGAAACTGCCTGCGAGCGCCAGCGCACTCTCTGCGGCCTGCGACCAGCGGCCGCAGGTGGGATCACCGATGGGAAAACCATGGATATCCATGGATCCGTGTTTGTGTGTGTGTGTGTGTGGGTCAAGCATTTACAGAAAAATCGTTTGGGATCAAAACTCAGTGGTGTCCAGCTTATGGTGCCATGATTCGCATTATTGGAAGCACATCCTGCTTATTCCCAACACTCCATGAAACAATGTGCTACAACCAACTGCTGGCAAATGATTCAACATGATTCAACAAAAGCGCAGCTCGCCATCTCAAACTGGTGACTATTCTCCTGTTGCTGTGAAAATGCCTTGCTACAGTGAAGCAACTCAAAGTCTTTATCCAAATGCATCAAGGTGGACAGTCATGAAAGCATAATCTTTAGCTTCTTAGAAGACTCTAGAGCGCAGGCATGTCCCAGGCGTGTGCAACTTTCTTATGGATCAATTAACACTTGCAAGACAAATGTATAGAAAACTAAAATCAATTGCTAGCAAGACTTAAAAGTTGGCGGCCATTTTTGCAGCACGATGCAATCTGTTGAATATCACAACCTGGTCTTGCTTATGAAAAGGGACATCTGGGCTCATCTGCACAAATTGGTTCCCAGCTGATCACCCTTTTGCTGGCAGACCAAAACCAGAGAACCAGGTTGCGTTTGCTTGACCTGTCATCAAATGTGAAGGACATACCCTCCACACACATAGAACAACAAAAACCCAACCTCTCAGTTTCCACAAGTTTCAATAGGTACCAAGAACAGGTAGAATTCCTCCACAAAAAAAATAAACAATACAAACCAGCCGGGTGCGTTTCTGATGAAAGTAGCTTGAAATTACCAAAAAGTCGACCTGGCTGGGTCGACTCTGCGGGGTTCGACCTGGCTGGTTTGCATCCTAACTAAAATCATCGAAATCAACCCCTCAAAGCTCGGCTTCACTTGGCCGAGACAAGTCGTGCTGCAATAAGCTGTGCACATCGCATCTGGGTCGTTCGCCCAACACCATCCAGACTGACAAGTTCGAGCTGCCTCAAATGATGCAGAAGTTACAATCCCTCGCAAATCAGGACATTCCCAGCCGCCTTTGGAATTGACCCGCCGATTCCAGCCAATTTCAGCTGCGAAGTGGAGGAATTTCAATCAATGAATTGTTCCCAACCCTTCGGCCCCAGCCGATACTCTTCCTCCGTGACGAGCGCATCTTCCAGGCGTTGGCGCAGTGCATCCTTGTCCAGATCCCGAGAGATAAAGACCAACTCGGTGCGCTTGTCTCCATAGGGTTTGCTCTTGTACTTCTCCAGGTGAGGGGGCCACAGTTTGGGATCCACGTTGCCGTGCAACCAGGCGCCCGCTTCCAGCTTCACCGCACCCCCCGCCTGCCCCCACACCAGCGCCGCATGATCCCGGCCCGCGACCCACAGGAGGCCCTTGGAGCGCCACAAATCATCGAAGCCCTCGGCCATGAGCCGGTCCAACCGATCGGGATGGAAGGGTTTGTCCGAACGAAAGACCAAACTGGAGATGTTGTACTCCTCGGTTTCTGGCACATGGGAAACACCCCGGAGCTCTTGCAACCAGCCGGGCATATCCTGGACTTCATTAAAGTCAAAGCGGTGCGTGTTCAGCGCTAGCTTCAAATCAATCTGGCCGAAGCTGGAGCGCACGAGCTCCGCCTTGGGGTTCATCTTTTTCAGCAACGCTTCCAGCTGCACAATCTCCTCCTCCTGCAGAAGGTCCACCTGAGCAATTTCATCATGTGCCACCGCAGAAGGTCCAAATACAGGTCATTGGTGGGATGCTTGTTTTGCTTGTTAGAATCTCCGTCAAACCAACCTGTCAAAACAAATATACAATATATATATATAT